TCGGGGTTCAGTGTAACTGCAAACCCTAAACCCCAAAACCCCTGAGGTATCCAGAAGATCTTGGCCATTCTCGAAGCCGGTGGTCTGAGCATCAGCCTCAGGAAAGCGGACTCTCTTTGGAGCAGCCCTCGAGTGCGAAGCCTCCCTTTGCCTCCTCCCCAAATCTCACTCAAGGCATGGCGTGGGCAAGAGATGATGTTTCGTGATTGATGTGGTTACTACCATGAGCCTTGTTCTGAACAAGCTCGTGTATAGTAACCGGCAGGTACTGTTGTGATCCAAGCAGCCTGCCGTCAACGATTTTGTTGTTCTCCCGTCTATCAAAATCTCCGGACTCCTGTTTTGTGGCCGCCGAAGATCCGATCGTATCGCAGAAGCTGCTGAGTCTTAGGGAGACTTTCGACCGCATTGCGCCGCCCTTCCTTTCTATGCCTCTGTGATCTCCGCAAGAGCCTGGGGGCTGACTTATCATTCAGCTTAAATCGACTCGCCGGTGCTGTCGTTCGATTGCATTCTTGTCCGCAGAGGTTTGGCTTGAATCATGTTCCGTGCGTTCTCACAGAGCCCTATTGAAAAGTCTGTAAGTGACCGCAGCTGTGTTATTGCAGCTTGCAGTTTGGGAATGCGCGCAAATCGAACTGCTCGAATCGGCAGGAGTACTGCAAGCACGTTCCCGTTGCAATGAACACCTTACGATGGACTCAGCTTTGAACGTGAGGACCTGACTGCGTTTGTTTCTTTCCTGAAGAACAAAGCTGGATGCGGCCGTAAAAACCAACGCATCAGCAAGTCGCATGACGCCGCTTGCAGAGTCAGCCGTGCATTCGTGGGATTTGGATTTGGCTTGTTGTGGGATGGCCTCGTGATGCCTCGTGCTTTCTGGTATGGGTTGTCTGTTTGAGGCCGGATCGCGCAGTCGAGGTGCAACTGACATCCAGGCAGACTTAGTTCAGTGGAGCATGAAGAAACAAGCTCCGTATCCCTGTACCTCGAACCTTCGGCAGCACCGAAACCTTAAACCCAAAGCCCTAAACCTTAAACTCAAAGCCCTAAACCCTAAAACCTCAACCTGAAGCCCCAAAAACCTCAACCCTAGTAGCCTAGGGCTTTGCGGGAACCAGGTCATCACAACCACAGCGAGCCGGCAAGGGTCTCCGTGAGCGAGAACGGAGGCGGCTTTGCTGTCGGGCTTACCGGTTCAGGGTTTAGGGTTTAGGGTTTAGGGTTCAGGGTTTAGGGTTTAGGGTTTAGGGTTTGGCCATGGAAAACCATCATGAGTCCACAAGGGTTTAGGGTTGGGGGATGGGTATGAGGACTGTGGGTTTGGGGGTTTGGGAGTGTTGGTTTCAGAAGTTGGGGTCGTGGATGAGATGTGAGACTCGCTGAAGGGTTTGTGGTGAGTCTGATTTGTCTGCACCTGTTACAGCGTAATCGCGACATATCAGAATTTTGTCTTGTGTACAGTCTTTTATTCATCGTTTGTTTCTCAAGCTCGCAACATGCCGGTCTAGTCAATTACTTCCCGGAGTGACCAAGTCAGATAAGATAGGACAGCTGTCAGTCTGGTAGTGACTGTTAGTGACTGGCACTGTCGCGCCGCCATGCGCCGCCTCAGTCAGAAACTGTCGGAAGTCGCGTGTACGAGCTGCAGAATGAGACTGTCGCCCGAGCTCAGCATCGCGCTCCAGCGCATTCTCGTAACAGTCATAACGGCCTGCAGAGTGGCCGATGCAAAAATTGCAGACAGGACAGACTGCGGTCGCGCACGGCCATGAAGCAGCGGCTTGAGCGCTTGGGGAGCCTTGGATGAGAGTACACGAGGTTGTTGGTGTCGGCAGGGACAACTTGCACCAGGCTGTCAAGGACTCCAAGTTGTTAGCGTGGGACTGCAGCTGGCTGTCGCAAGGCGCGATTTCAGCATGAACTGCTCCCATCGGATTGAGAGATTTGACCGTGGTAGTCACCTGCAACATGCGAACCAAGACTGCATTTGTCGTTTCCGCACGATTTTGGACATGCAGTCATCATGGATTGTTTGGCGGTTATCGTTAACAGCGACAGCACGCGGCTGAGTCAACTTCGCAATGCTTGTTGCAGATCCTCGTGATGGTTCGCCAGGAATATTGGTCTGTGTGTGGCAACGTTGGAGATGACGACCTGCATGGCCTCAGCCCTCGCTCAGCGCCGTGAAGCTCGATCCAACGACAATGGCACACGACATTGGCACAGATGGCACAGAAAGTGGTGAAGACGACACTTCCATAGGGATGTAAGCAGCACGGGTTGTTGCAGGAACACATCTTTTTGGCGGTCCCATCGTTATCGATGAGGTGGGATACCTGGGAACGCCCGGCAGCACCTCTTCTTCCGTCATGAAGAGCACATCTTGAGTCCTCAGCTTTAGCAAGCGGCTGTTGAACCCGATTGCCACTTCAAAGGACCTCAAGGAATGGCAACTGGAGTCTGGCAGTTTACTTACAGGAGTCTTTCACCGAGCTTGGGCACGTCCTTTCCTACCCGGACTTCGTGGACCCAGTGCATGAGGCACTGACTCCGCTGCTTCTCAACCGCCCTATGACCAGAGACACAGGTTCACCTCTTGTCCACGAGTTTCCAGCATGAGCGTGTCGCCCGAGCTCCACATTGCGCTCCTGCGCATAACCGCTTGCAATAAAAGCGAGCGCTTGGTGATGGTGGCACGCGACGACTTGATCAGAAGTTTGCAAGCGGGACAGACAGCAGTGGCTTCGTCGTCGTCGTCGTGGAGGACCACTACGAACCAAGAGTCATGCTTGGTCCACGAGGCGGTGAGCCATGGGCCTCGACCAGGAGACGTGCAAAATCGGTCAGGTGCTTATGCTCACGAAGCGTGGATGCAGCTTGAGCGGTTGGGTGCGGACGTGATGTCCATCGGGAGTGTTGGTCGGTTTCGTTGACAGGGACAAGTTGGACGCACAAAGACAAGAAACGACATCGGCCCTTTGCGGTGTCCTTGCGGTGTCCTTGGCAAACCCCCAGAAGTCAATACTGTGGAGGCGGATCTCAGCGAGCAGAGTTTCTGTCCGAGCTTGATGGAAGTGCCCTGTTGCAGGAGGGCACTCGAATCTCGAGGCCTGACTCGTCGCCGTGGCGAAACCGGTCAAGCTAAAGCGGCCGAGCTGGGCTGAAGAAGGAGCCGGCTCCGCATCGTCAACGATGCTCTTTCGAAGACACGACCAGAATCCCAAGCGCAGTTGCCAGGCGGCACGAGCTGTGCGTGGAAACGAGCCACCCCCAGTGCACTTTGAGGAGACATTCGCCTGGACGCTCAGTTTCTCCAGTTGGAGTGCGTCGAGATCTCAGCAGGCATCCTGATTCTTTCAACAACCGCCGGCTGCGACCCCCAACATTCCAAAGATGACGTCTGATGCCACGTCCCTGCAGGCGTCTTTAGCCGAACTTGGACGTGTTCTTGCCTACCCCGACTTCGTGGACTTAGTGTATGAGGCCCTGAAGCTGAGCAACAAAGCGAGCCTCGTTGCCATCCAGCACTCAGTTGCAGCCTGGGCGCGTCTGTGCCACGACGTCGAGGGAAGTGGAGTGTTTTCGTGTGATGACTGGACTCGGAAGTTCCGCAAGCTCGATTTCTTCCTCCAGGAAGAGGTCTTGTGCACCTGCTGCGTGTTCCTCGGCATGGACGACATTGAGGCCTTTCCGACCAAGCTGCGCGGGAGACAAGGTCGATCCTATCGTCAGCTTTGACTTCGACCAGAGGCCGTGCATGGGGGAATACGCGTTCCTCGGCAAGGACGGTGTCGCAGACTTTGGAATGCTGGATCAGGTCATTCGTGAGCATGCGAGGAGTTCCTCACCAAACTGCACACGACACATTCGCACTTGCAGAAAGCAGTCCTCACAGAGTCGACATGCTCAAAAAAAGTTTGGAAGCGCAGCCTGACGAAGGCAGACCAACCGCAACGCCTACCTGGTGGCCCGTCTTCTTGAAGTCCGTTGCACAGCAGTCGTTTCGAAGCACTGGACCTACTATGAGTCTGTGTGCTGTACTATACTCTGTACTCAGGGGCCGACGCTCGTGGAAGGTGCAAGCACAGTGTGCACTGTCCTGTGAGCCGTGTGCCCACCACAGCAGCTCTCGTAATGCGAGGAATCAAAAAGTATCGTCTCTTGACTGTGGCCATCTGGCATCGTGGAGGTAAGTGCAGTGACTGCTGCCACTGCCACTGCTCCTGCTGCTGCTCCTGATCCTGCTGCTGCTGCTCCTGCTGCTGCCGCTGCTGCTGCTGCCGCTGCTGCTGCTGCTGCTACTGCTGCGATGCTCATCTTCGTCAAGCAGCCCTCTTCTCTGTACAGGCCAGGCGAGGCTGCTCGAGTCCGGTGACACTCAAATGCGCCTCCGGTGAGACCGTGGTGCTGCACTTTAGCTTTAGGACTGTGTAGGACATTAGAATCAAGGCTCCCGTACCCTTGGCGCAGCCTCAAGGGCTGCATTGAGGGTGACTGGGCTGAGGTTTGTGCAGGTGGTGGCTCGAACATGATCGAACCCCGCCCGGGCGATGAGGTTTGTTCAGGGGGAGTTACTCGGCCATCCGAACGCTGTGAGGGCGTTCGGTGGCGGCTGTTGCCACGGGTGCTGCAGAGAGCTGTAGCCGAAGATGCAAAGAGCCACGAGCCGAACACTTGAGTCCAGCAGCCAGCAGCCGTGGCATAGCCCTGAGCCTATCCAGTTAACGAGTGAGAGTGCTACCTCTGGCAGGGACAAGGCTGCCTGTTTGCTACACATGGAAGTCACTGTTACCTGCGACTTCAAGATCTGGTCAGGCCCCAGCGCGTGAATGTCGTGCCCGACCCCTGCCATAGATCGGCACGGTTGGAAGACACCCGAGGTGTGCACGAAGGTGCATGCCATGTAGCCGTGTCGGTGCCGAAACCTGCCAAAAGTCCGATGCAGCCTCGTTCCGAAGCACCTCTCCCACAGCACCGAGAGGCTGGGACGGATGCAGGTACTCGGCGAGACGCCTTTCATTGCCCTGGTGCCACGTGGCCTGCGCTGGACCAACGCAGGCGCCCTTTAAGCCGAGCCCCGAAGCAACCCGAAATCGCCCCAAAGCCCTGAAGTCTCAACCCTGAACACCTTAAGACCCGAGCCCTCAAGCCTAAAGTTGCAGGGGGGGGCGGCTTCTACCTGGGCAGCCAGTCCTTCAACGAGATCGATCCCGGGCTTCGTGTAAGTACCCCGGTGCTTCGCGGTCTGCGGTGTTTCGGTTGGGGGCTTGAGGTTTTGGGAATGGGGTTCCAGGGTTTAGGGCCGTGTAAACCCGTCTAAAGCCGTTTAGGAGTTTAGGGTTCAGGGATGCCCATTCACGAATGATGTAAGGGAGGGCTGTTCGCACAGAAAAAATCGCCCAAATTTTGGAGGGGGTGCTCTGCGGGCAAGCCCGAAATCCAATTTTATGGGGCGGGGGGGGGGGCTGAGAAGGAGTTTAAGAGGTGGGGAAAGAGGGAGTCCCTGGGCCGAGGCCGAGGCGAATTAGCCCGGTGTAGGGCTCCTATAGACCCCTCAAAGCTCATAGTCTCATAGTCATAAGTCACAACTATGTCGACCTACAACATCCCTCGTGAAGATGCGAGCCTCCAGAATCCCAGGCCGATCTGCAGGTGGACCGGGACGGCAAGCTTTTGTGGCCGCGGCTGAATTGAGAGAGAAACGGGGGGTTCAGGGGCTGAGTTGTTTCGGGTCCCAGGACTGCAACAGCCCTGCAAAGCATCAGAGAGAAAGGACATGACAACCGCAAAAGCCCACAAAAGCACGCACAAGAGGGCCTAGAGCACAAGCTCCCATGGGGGGCAGACCAAGGATGTACGGCGCCGTAGAGCTGGTGGCGCATGGGGCTCGGCATGGAAGGAAAGCCCGGGTTCCTCGATCTTCGGTTGATCAAACCCTACAACCTTCAACCTTAGACCCCAAGCCCTAAAACCCGAACCCTCAGGCCTTAAGCCCTTTTTTCATGAAGCCCTGAAGTGTGTTTTGTGGTTTGTCGGTTCTAGGCTTCTGGTTTTCCTCGCATGGAGATCCTGCATTGCCTATCTTGTCCAATGTAAGGAATCGAAGCGAACCAAAGAGTTGGCTTTTGGGTCGGATCTTTCCATGACCTCGGCCGTCGCTACATCGTTCTGTTTTGGGAGCATGACCGACTGCTAATTTCGCTGTGCGCATCTCAGGGGCGGGTGCGGTTTCCATCATTTTCTCGCTCCGGAACAAGATAGAACTAGGAGAACCATAAGATCGTGAGACCGAGACGAGACGCCTGAGGCCCTTCCTGCTCCGCGGACAGCGGCGGACTGCAGTTTCGGCTGAAGAGGAGGGATGTAGTGGGACGTAGTAGCATTTATCACAGAAGTACCAGCCGGAAAGCTGTGATGCTGCCTAGGATGGTACCAGTAGTGCAATGGCAATCTACGTCCCTGCTCAGGAGTTGGAGTTCCGCCTCTTCTCATCACGCAAAAACCGTGCGGTGCCCAGAGCCGAGCAGAGTGTCGCATGCAGGTTCCATAGGAGAACCATGTGCAGTTTAGGGTTTAGGGTTTAGTGCATCACTGCATTGGTCCGAAGCATTCGGGACAGGTTGCTACGGTTGCTTAAGGCAGTGACTGCATCGCATTAATTAGCAAATCAAACAGACTAGGGGTAGTCTTCAGTGCCTCGGCATGAAGTGGACCCGTCATTGTTGCCACCGGCGCGCAATTCAAGCGCATCTGTGGACTCGGGAAGGGCACCGATGGCAACAATGACAGGTCGCCAAGGCCTTTTGGGAAGCAGCGCGGAGGCAGAATGAACCTGTCGCCCGAGCTCAGCATCGCTCTCCAATGCAAAACCGCAGGCAACAAGAGTGACGCGACGACCTCATCCACCGCTTGCAAGCGGGACAGACTGTAGTCGCTTGCGCGCACGACGTGTGGATGCAGCTTGAGCGGTTGGGTGCAGACGTGATCGGATCCGGACGACGCTTCTGCGTCGAGATCCGAGACGTTCGCGGCAGCACCGATGTTGAGCTGCACCGTTCGAACTTCACGAGGATAGCGACTTCGGCGGACATATGCCGCAAGAAGTTTCACTTTTCACATATTCGAGGCAAGCTGCCTGGTCTCTGTGGACAGTGCTGCCCGTCAGTCGACGGTTCCACCCAGAAGCATCGGCCACGGGCCAGGTATTGGGACGGCCCCCCCGCACACCCACCCACTCACCTTTCCTGTCCATCGCTTGTTCCAATTGACTCCCGACCCACCGATTGATTCGGCTCAAATTAGCATCTGCTTATGCATCTACTTCTCTCGTATTTCACTCTTTAGGCTGCGCCGCTTTTCCATGCACTCCCTGATTTCGTGCCATCAGAGAATCGAAGTGCTTCGACAGTTCTAATTCACAAGATTGTCTCATCATCACAGGACGTTCTTTCCCAGAGTGCTTCTTCGGACTGAACCTAACCCTCCTACCCTTTCAAACCTCCAAACCTTTCCGAGGCATCATTGGCTGCATTGGAGAGCCACTACGAGTTCAGGTGATCCACCAGGCCAGTAAAGCATATTCAGTCGCAGCCGGGCGGTTTGAAGAAGAGGTAAGACTCAAAGTATAGCAGTGCAACATGCGCTTTTGCAAGATGCCACATTGGAAACGAAGTAGAGCCTCTTTCTCTACATGTTGGCGCTCCTGGCAGGATGTATGTATACAGAAGCACCCTTCTTGATCTGTAGTTTCGCATAAACTAGAAGAAATGCCAAGAAGCAGGTGCTTCCGCCTCCTGTGGTTGGGCCCTCAGCTGAACTGGGCATGGGGTCAATTTGCAGGGCGTTCACGGTCCTTCCAGATCTTCTTTGAGGATCATCATGTCCTTAGCATCTTAGCGCGGCCAGCAAAAGCGGGCATTCGGCATAAGGGTGGTGGTGGCCCGAGAGGACGTGAGGGACAAAGATAAGAGTTGCCTAAACCCTAAAACCTAAACCCTAAAACATAAACCGTAAATAAACCCTAAACCCTAAACCGTGTGACTATGACTTGACTACGCAGGCGACCCTCCAGGTCTGCTGTGACGGCCCCCGTGCCAAGCTGCGCCGCGCTCCTGGTGCTACTTTTGCCAAACTCGGGGGGCCCGTGACGCTGGTGGTTGATGGTGGAGGAATCTGACGGGTTGAGGCTGAATCGGCAATGCAGTGTTCAGGTTTTGGGTTTTGAAGCCGAAGGTTCTTTGATGCTACATGAGTGACGCTGTGGGACACCCACTGCCCTAACTTTTTTAGACGAGCCTTTTCTCCTGCAATGTCCAGACCCGGAAGCCGCAGACATGAAAGATGGAAGCCTAAGCCCATTGTTGTAACCGTAAGTGCGTAGTTGCCAGATCACTTCCCCCTGCAGCCAAAGCCAAGGCCCGACCTCAACGCCCAAGGCCCTAACCCTTAAAACCTAAACAAAACGCCAAAGCTCCCAACTTATGTGACCCTTATCAGCACTGGCGGCGAGGGCATAAGATGGACACCAGCCGTCACCAGCCCTGCTAAAATGAACCTTCGTCTTTGATTCAGCTTGTTTTGGGTGTGAAAGCATAGGGCAGCGTACAGGGGTCGTGCCCATCGTCTGCCAAGAGCATGCCCTTGCTTCCTAGAAAGCTGTTATGCATCCCAGCAGAAGAATCCAGGATAAGGAATTTAGGGGGTACAGTAGGGGCTTGTTTTGTAAAGCCAAAACCCCTCCCCCGAGTCGAAAGCTCGGCTGATGCACCTCGGCAGAGGCTGGACCGGCTTCGAGCTCGACGAAAAGGTGCCAGCCAGCCAGCCAGTCTTTTTCGCTCTCTCGCCCTCCCTCTCGCTCTCGCTCTCGCTCTCTCTCTCTCTCTCTCTCTCTCTTTCTCCTTCTTCAGGATCATGTTAATTCGTCCGACGAGTACTGGAATTGTGGCTGCGTTAACTGTTATGTTGTGTTGTCAGAGCCGCCCTTGCAGATCCCCGTCGATGTGATCCGCCTTCGTGTGAAGACCGACCGCCTGGCGCCAACCATATCGTCTGCAAAGCGTGGCTTTTGCAGAGCTTTCGGCGAGAGGCCGTGACGAGATCCTGGACCTCAATCCAGAAGCGATCCAGCCGAGCTCTCGGCGGAGGAGCCTCTTGGACAAGACCAGTCGAGACCTGTCAGAGGCACGAGCTCAGTGATCTGCTCCCGGACACGGACTACGAGTTCCACCTGCGGCTTGAGAGCCAAGCCGGTGCAGGTGCGGGTCGAAGGTTCCCAGAGTCGCCACTGATCTCCCCTCGGCTCCCAGGCGGCAGCGTCTCCTGCTCCTGCCGGACCAATGCGCGCTGCTCCGCGCCTCTGCCTCTTGGCTGCGGCTGCGGCAGCTTCCCGGGTTCCGCTCCGGTTCCGCTCCGAGTGTCAGTGGCGCAGGGGGCTCTCGAGCGCCGGGGCCTCCACGACCTACGTGGACTTGCAGTGGAAGCCGCCTCAGGCCCTCGGCGCCAAGGGCCCCCGATTGCATCACTGTCATGTGTCTCGCATCGCAGGTGCTCGGGAACGAGCGGACGGCAGACCGGTGGCAGCCCGGAGCTCGGACTCGGCTCCGTCACGCCCCCAAGCGCGAGCCGCTCCAAGCCGAGGTTGCAGTGCGAAGAAGTGCGGAGACGTGGCCTCAGAGCGGGATGCAAAGAGCCTCAAACGGAGAGCTAAGAGCCTCCAAGGCTACGAAGCGCAGCTCTCTGTCGCAGAGGAGGCGAGCGACAAGAGGAGCCGGAGTCTGTCAAAGAGCTCGGATCCCAAGAACGGAGCTTCCGTCTCTCGTGCCCCTCTTTCAGATCCGTCACAGGCACTCTAAACCGACTGATAACCCCTCTTGAGCCCTTCAGCCCCCCAAAAAAAGACTTTAAGCCCAGAGAAGAGCTGCCGAGGTCATTCCTCGGCAGTGGTCGACTTGCCGGTGAGCAGAACCGACCTCTGTAGGCTCCAAGTGGTGGACTCCGAATGAGGGGCTTAGGGGTCAGGGTTTAGGGTTTACGTAGGGTTTAGGGTATAGTATAGGGGCCAGGTTTGGAGTCTTGGGGTCTTTTTGGGGTTTGCAGTTAGGGACTTGTAGGCTTTGGAGTTTGGCTGGGGGTCTCTGGGGTTTCGTTTCTCTTCTGGGGTTTTGGGCTTACGCCGCTCTTCATCGGGCTGCCAAACCGAAGCTTTTCGAGGCCACCAGAACTGGAAAACCCATGTGCTTCGACGTGAATTGGGAAGTATTTAAAGCTGGAGGAGGAATGGTGTATGGGCGAGCACGGAAACGTTGGGCAGTTGCACTAGCAGGGTCGATTTCTTCCGTGGGATGCTATGCTCAAGTCCAACTGACGTGCCGAAGCGCGAAGCCCAAATAGCCCGACACTTCGAACTTCAAGCCCACAAGCCTTTGTACTAGACTTTACTACAAGCCCTCTAGGCCCCAGGCCCCAAAACAAAGCCCAAAGCCGAAATGACACCCTAAAGCCCGAATAACCAGAACACTCCAAACCCCTACCGTACAACTTTTAACCCCCTCTAAGCCCCAAACTCAAAAATCCCCTCCAAGATCCGAAAGCCACTGAACGGAGGCGCTGTCGCTGGGAGATGGGGGGCTCGAACCTGCGCTCCCAGTCCTCCGAGCACCTCACGGGCCGCCTGGGCGGACTGCGAGCCTCGGAGGAAAGAAGATCGAGTTTAGGGGTTTAGGGTTTAGGGTCTAGGGTTTAGGGGTTTAGGGTTTAGGGCTTAGGTTTTTTTTTTCGGTTTAGGGCTTATAGGGTTTGTAGGGTTTGTAGGGTTTAGGGTTTAGGGTTTTGGGGGAGATGGAGGCTTTCTTTTTTTTTGTTGAGGGGTTCCTTCTTGCGGGGGTTTCCGGAAGAAGAGGGTTCTGAAGGGGCTTTGGGAGGCCGTTGATGAGTGTATGATCAAGGGGTTCAGAAGGGGCTTACGAGGTTTTCATTAGGGTTCAGTTGTCCTTGTCAGGGTCTCTACAGGGTTTGATAGGTTTCGATCTTTGAAGCAGGCTCTGCTGCTCTGTAAAAAGTTTAGGGTTTCCCGCTGAACTTGAACAGGTGTTTTTATCATTTAGGATCCGAGCTGTGACCGTAACCTTACAGGGCTCCAAGCTGCGACTATTTATGATTCTGTGATTGGCTTTTGGGTTCCAGTGTTTTGGGGATTTTTCAGAGGAGCATTCCCAGGCCCAGACACCCTCTACTCGCTGGAGATGTTCTGTGCCGTGAACTCCATGGGCGCCTGCTTCGGAGCAGTTCGCTCTCCTTCGGCTCTGGGCCGCCCTGGTGTTGTGTCAGGTGCCGGCACAGCAGCGAGAGAGCTACAATTCTGGACCATGCCTCTGAACCCAATCATCGATAGCCGAGCCCTTAGGCCCGCAGAGTAGCATAGATCCGTCTAGATAGTCGGCAGACAGCGACACATGCGACGGCTTGAGGCATCCGCGTGCGGCAAGGCGGATGGTGGCCTTTGCCACACAATCTTTTTTCGCCCGTGCTTCCCTGCAAGGCCTGGTGGTTCTTACACTCGGGGAAGTGGGAGGTGGGAACGTCCGCGAGTTCGTGTGGAACTCGGTGAAGCTATTTCCTTGGGAGGGCAGTGCTTTCGTGCCGTAGTTCGTGCTGTAATGCGGGAGTTTCTCCTCTTGAGTTCCTGATGATGTGATGCAGCGGCGGGCCACGCATTTCAGTGGAATGCAGAAGCTGAGTCATTCGTCCCGTGGGCATGCTTTATCAGCCAAAGAACTGGCTCCGCTCCTTGCATAAGCAATGGCGGTCCGGGTGGTGCTGCTGGGCTTCGGCAACGTGGGAAAGGCAGGATTGCCAATTTGCAAGGCGACTAAACCCTAAACGCAGTACTAAACCCTAAACCCAAAGCTGGTGACCTGGTGATATTGGTCTCTCACGAGGCTTTCCTGCGTCTGCTCCTGGACAAAGAAGAGCTGCTCCTCACACGCCGCTTGGGCTTTTCAAAAAGCGCACAGGCTCCAGTTTAGGGCGCCTCCCTTCTTTACCGCGGCCTCCTCCAAGGCTATGATCTCAAGGTGCAAGTCGTTGGCCTCGCCTGAACCCAAGCTTACGAGCAGACTGCCAGTCTCCCACGTCCTGCAAGAGCTTGAAGAAAGCTCAAAGACAGCGGCACTCTCTTCGGAAATTCCCAGGCCACGCGCAGCCGCGGCGTCGTCGCGGATCCGAAGGGGCTCGATCTGCACGCCTGCCGGGGACCCAAGGATGGTTTTGGGATTCGGGTTCCGACTACTGTAGGCCACCATCAAAGCCCTTCGTAGGATCTGCGAAGGGCCCGGCCACGCCGCCCAAAACCCGGAGCAACTCCGGAACTAGCATCAATGAACCTACCCGAAGCCCAACTCCAATGCCCTGCAGGCCTAGCAGCATCCTCTCTGACGGGCCTCGGGGTCACGGAGCTGGGGGACGCGCAGGCTCGGGTAAGTCACAGAGGAGTGCTTCAGGGGGGCCTTGGCCCCACGTTTGAGGCCCTCTTGGCGTACCTCGACGGGCACTGCGATGCAGCGCCGGGCCCAAGCTTGCGGAGGGGCTCGGGGTTGAGGCCGTTGTGCCCAGAATAATACCGACATCACCCAGAGTGCATTGTGTATTGCAGACCTACGAGAAGCTCTAAGGTGCTGGAGGCGATTAATGCCTCACACTCGGATGGTGAGCCCGCCTTGACGCTCCTTCAGTCGGCGCTCTCCATGTCATCGCCGGCCGCTCCCCTGGGTAAGACAAGTGGACACGCATAGGACAGCGGCAGCCCGTGCTGAAGTAGGCATCGTCGATGTGTGCCTGCTTTGATCCTGAGATCGCCCAGGCACATGCCATCACGGCCAGCAAGCCGCCAGTGGCCTTCGGCTATCGCAGGCTTCGGCGCTCGACTGTCGGTGTGAACGATTGCAACTAGAAGTTTATGTTGCGCCGCTGTTTGCCGGAGTCAGGCTGTCGGAACTCGCGGCCGCACATGGGCGGCGGTTCCTGTTTGAGTCCAGCGTGATGGACGGGGTGGCTCGTCTCTTCGAATTCCGGTAAAGGGTTGCAGAAAAAGCCTCGAGAAGGCTGCCTTAGGCAACGCCACGCCTGGGCCAAAACCCTCAACCTCACAAGTCTAAGGGCTTTAGAACTTTAGGAGGGACCCTTGTAGGTTATTAGGTTAATATGGAGACTACTTGGCTACAGTATATAAAGGGTATAAAAGGACTATACAATGGTTATTTAAGGTAATGGGACTAAGTGTCCCTATGAGGGTCCCTCCTAAAGTCCTTAGGACAAGCCAATGAGCCACACTCTCCTTTCTCAATGAGGCTTTCTGGTCAGGGCAACCGCACAGCCGAAGAAAGGGAGCTCAGCAAGAAAACAGCTCGATAGGCCCTGAACCCGCAGGTTCCCGTCTTCTCCCTCCTCCGGCAACTTCCCGGAGCTTGCGTCTGCCGGGTCTCCGGCATTCTGAACTCCACCACCAACCTGATCCTGACACGGACTCCTGGGGAAAGAGCGAGGGCCTAGGATTCCGGGTTTCGCGTTTTTTTTTTGCTGCTTTCTCTCAGAGGCTCCAAGACCCCCAAGATGCAGAAAATAGCCTCTAGCCGGAGAGGCCGTGAACCTAGAAAGACCCCTTGTAAGGTCATGGAACACACGAAAGATCCCAGCCCAAACGCCAAACCCCAAAGGTCCTTGTTGGCTACAGCAATTTTAAGGTTTTGTTATCATAAATCCAATACGGATTTTAAAGTTCTGTTCTAATATAACCCGATAAAGATTAACACGTATATTTTTTAATATAGCCCCAACAGGGAACCAGAAGCCGTAAACCTTCAGCCCAGACCCCCCCGCGAGCCGGCCAGGATGGACTCCATGGGATGTTCGTTGGAGGAAGCCGTGGCGTTCGCGCAGGAACAGGCGCCCGGTGAAGACTCTGGGGGTTCGGATAATTAAGACAATAATAAAGATGTACTTATATTGATAACAGTGGTACATTAAAATGATAGCAACAACAATAATGCCAGTGGGTAATCCGGATAGGCGTCTCACGACTTGAGAGTTTGTGCCTTGAGGTATACAGGCTGCCGTGTCAAGGGCTCTGGGGGCTGTTGTAGAGCGTCTGCAAAGGTCGTGCATCGCTAGTTGAGGTTTGGCGGTGCAGTGCTCGGGTTCGGAGTGGCTGCCCTTCCAGTCGCGGTTGCCACCTTGATTCCTTCTCGAAGTAATTACACAGGTTCACTCTTGGGGTTAGACCTGTGGACACAGATTCTGACAATCCCCAAGCACTCAAGCAAGCACGTCTTGGAGTAGCATGGTTGGTTGTGATTTGTGATTGCCTTTTGAGTTCATGCTGTGCATCAGCAGAGACATTCAAGAGTCCTTCAGCTCGCTTCCACATCTCGTGGTAGGGCATCGCCGAGCGGGACCCGTCCGACGATCTGGACGGCAAGGATGCGGGCGTACTCGCAAGAGACATACATTGCTGATTTTATGAACACGAACTTCGACTTTCGACAGTCCTACCCCTTTATCAATCCAACCCCCGGCCACCTGAAGCAGTTCCAGGATGCGGCCATGAAAATCTGCTGCCTTTCCACAGTGGCTTTTCGTCGTCACCTCGACCCTGTCCGGGACTCAGCGAGAAAGCAACATCCTTACCTGCCTTGGCCATATTCGCGTGAAGGATGTGGCGTTTAAGGTTGCTTCAAGGATCAGTATCAACATAGTGCAGTCAAGGCAGCAGATTGTGGCGGTGGCGCGGTCGTAAGAAAATCCGCGCAGCCGAGC